GGTGGTAGATTTTGTACCTTTTGATTGTATCTTTGGGGTCGCAGCTTTGCCTCAGGAAGGTTGAAGTGCACTCTTCAATCTTCTCTCTTGACTCCGCTCCAAACCATCACCTCCCTTGCTAAACTTCTGTCCTTTAAGTCTCCTTCTGGACGGGAGCTTTTGTAAAAAGCTGGCTGCAGTCCACCATCTTGGCTTCACCCAGGTCTTATTTTTCCATTTGCTGTGGGAGCCAGAATAATGGCTAGGTCCTATTCTCAATAGCCTGTGCCTATCTTAGGTTACATAGCAGACGGAAATGAAGGTTGCAGTTGGAATTGAGGTTGATAATCACTTGACTTGGAAGAGGGCAGAGCATCTTGGCTTAACTGGGCAGACCCAAGAAAATCACAGGATCCTTAGAAGAGTTAGAGGGAGACATGACTGGGGAGAACCAGAGAGACAGTAGCTAGAAAAGGTCTTCCCCACTGGCCTTGAGGATGGAGGAAGGGGCCAGGAGCTAAAGATGGGAAATCTCTAGAAATTGCAAAGAGCAAGAAAAGAGATTTTATTTCCTAGGACCTCCAGAAAGAAACACAGCTTGGCTGACACTTTGATCTTAGCTTTGTAGGTCTCATTTTGGACTCTGAGCCTCAAGAACTGCAAGATGATAAATGAATATTGTTTTAAGCTACTCATTTTTTTGGGTAAGTTTTTAGAGCAGAAATGGGAAACTCATACATCTGCTAACTGGGGATACAAAGAGTATGGTTCTTTGAGGGGATTAGAAGACATGATGTATGTGAAATGCTTAGTCCAATGCCTTGCACAGGGCAAGAATCACTAAATGATGTCTATTATTAATCAAATTATTTTTGTAGCCAATAGTACATTATTATTACTGAAACACTGATAAAAAGCAACCAAAATACATGGACTGAACTATATCCTGCTAATAGCAATGAGAATGCTTGGATCCTCTGGTATGTGATATTTCAGAAATGATTGAAGACCTTAATATTTATAGTAGGCAGGATATAAACTGTGATAAGTTCTAACATTTAGAGAAAACAGAAACCATGGGAGACTCCCAGTCTTCTTTTTATCCTACTGAGCACTTTAATAAATATATTTAAATACTTGGAATAAATCTCTGTGTTTATTTGAACAAAACCTGATAGCATCAGAATTCCTAAGGGTGTAAGATACTTAGAATTTCCATTTTCATGAATAGCCTCACTTTGGAGACAGCTGAATATCTTCATAGGTTGAATTTTGATAGAAATAATTTTAGATGGCACCTTTTCCCCTAGTCCCAAAGGTGAGTGAAATCTATTTTAACAAATAATTTTATTTCAAATGACTTAAACTGTCCACAGTTACAAAAGTGATTATTCCATGCAACTGATGAGGTTTTCCATTGCTTTCAAGTAAAACATTTTAAAGATACTTATCCTATTCCTGTACACAAAGGAATAGTAATATACTCAGATTCCAGGTTCTGGTGGAATCTTTATCCTTCTACTTCTGTTTTCTATGATGCATGAATCAAACTTTTAAGCTTTAAACAGTGATTTTTCAGAAATAGTGATGAATTTTGAACATTAAACTTAGTGAACTTACATGTTCAATTTCTTTAATGACCCCTCTCCTTAGAAACACATTGTTGTTACCGCAATACTGGGTAAAAAGTCCTCTATTGCTTTTCTCCATTCAAACCCACAAGAGTGAAGCACTGCCATGATCAGCCCATGACAGAGGTGACCTTGCATAAGTAACATAGGTGAAGTCTTGCTCATGCTAAGCACAGGATAGAGTTCATGGTCAGTTTGCTACTTCGCAGGGACTTTCTTTAGTCAATAGGCAAAAGAAACTTATTGACTCAAATTAGGGTTAACCTTCCATGACTCATTCATTTATTCAGGAGTATTGGTACGAAGTATATTTCTCATATAAAAGATACTTAGTAGGGTGGCGCCTGTGGCTCAAAGGAGTAGGGCACCGGCCCCATATGCTGGAAGTGGTGGGTTCAAACCCAGATCCAGCCAAAAACTGCAAAAAAAAAGATACTTAGTAATTAGGGGCTATCAAAGATAAGGAAGGAACAGTCAGGAACTTTATCCATGGATAAAGTACGGTAAGAGTTGGGATTGATGCACAAAATTTGTGCTGGAACAAGACATGGAGTACTAGAATAACAATTATGGAGTTAGGATACTGTTTGTAGGTCATGAGGAACCTTAGTTTACACTAGAGGGTCTCAAAAGTTTTGTGTTTATGGTACATTTTCTGATAGTGAAGTTACTGGCAGTTCCATGTGAAGAAAGTAAAGGATTCGTGCAAGACTCTGTAACCTCATTCATTAGTGCCGTTACCACTGGAGTGTCACAGTGGTTCAGAGAGTCTATGGGCATGCGTGGCCGTAGTTTTTGGACTATTGTTGGCAATCCCTCAGTAATTGTCACCTTCCAGTGACAGTTCATTGCCTCATACAACCTGTGCGATCATGTTCTCTGGTCCCATTCAGTATAAAACATTTAAACAATCTCTTCTTGATTCAAAGAGATACTACTTTATTCCATCTTTACATGAATTGCATAGGATTTGCTGTTTTTTCTCTGTGTGTTTTCATCACTTTATTTTCTTTTTCCTAGTCTCAGTCCTCTGCTTGTGTATTTTCTCTTTCAATGTCAGTCATCTTATTCACATGTCTGGGAGTCCTTGTTTATCTGCTTAATTAAACATGAGACATTTGAAAATTCTTTGGGAACTCTGTGCAGGGAATTTAGACTCACTCATTTTGGACATGTGCAAAAGATGGTCTGGCTGAGCCCTTCTGTGGAGACCTCTCACTGTGTGTGTTTGGGGCTGACCAGACTCCCCAGAGCCTCCTGGCTGACTCACAGCACTCCAGGAATGCAGGCTGCTGTGATTCTGAACACTCAGGTGTACACAGAGTACATAGATGTACTAGAGACCTCCAGAGTTATGTTTGGAACATGCATAAGGAACTTGTGCCAAAAATTCCTGAATATTTTTGAGAATTTGTGGCACAATCAGATGGTCTCTTGTCCCCACAAACAGCTCTTCCCTCTCTCCCTCCCAGAACAGGACTATTGATAATCCTGCTTCTCATAGTTCAAATTCTTTAATTGTTTAGTAAATGTTTGCCATCATCTCCTTCCCATTTTTATTTCAGGATTCTTTGCTTTCTGACATAGGGACAATGAAAGGAAACAGACTCCCAGTCACTTAGTGCATTTTTTTGTGGAAGGAATAGAAATAAAAATAAATATGTGTTTTAACTCTTTTATTCTTAAAATAAGACCTGGAGTCTTTTCCAGGTTTCTACATTAGGTTTTGATTTTATAGGTGGCGCAAGAATGAGAATTTCCACATGTGGAACAGCACAGGCTAAGGGTTGTGCACTGTTATAAATGTCACTTTCTATTCACATCGGAAGAATATTTATGCAGAAAACTCAGTTCTGTCTTTTCCTTTGAGGGAGGAAACCCCTCGATTTCCAGCATTTGGATAGTTCATAGATAGTTTTTGAACCTTAATCTGTATTTACATATTGTGAACAAAATACACA